GAGATGTTTTTCAGCATGATTGTTACTACTATCATAAAAATACAGTTGAACAATGCTTTTGGAGTATGCAACCCCTGTTCATTGGTTCCAAATTTAAAGCATTAGCAAACTGACCACCAAATTCATAATAGAAGTTCCTTTCCAGATCCAAATATATGAAGACATACCAAAGAGAGCGCCATCAGAACTCCATAGGACTCGATTGACTGAGATAAGCGGATCTTCATTTATATGTACCTGAATAATGACGGAAACCATCTTTAGTTACAGTACGAAACTGATCTTTCATTTTCAAATATCTGTTATAAACGGTCATACCAGAAACGCAGTTGAAACAGCTTCCACTTTCCAGATCGCAAATTTTCTTGAAAACAACTTTTCCTCAGAACTAACGTCCCACAGCTCTATGCCTCCGAAACTGTCTCCAACTGAAAAAAACATCGTCACTAGCAATGAGCTTCAGGATTCAGAAACTATCGCTAATATATCAGTTTGCGAACTATAAATTCCTGCTCAATGAGAAACCTATTAGAAGAGTCTGTTGAACAGGGTGAAAATCCATTGTGGTTGGAGAAGAGCCGATGTTTAAAACACGTCCGACTGCCTTGGGAAAGTCATCAGAGAGGCTAGACGATGCAGCCTGTTTCTGACAAGGAACAGCTGTGGGTAACACCTTCTGCGTGAATATAAGTAACATGGAATTCAAATGTAGTGATAGCCAACTAAACCATCAAATGAGGAAAGTGCACAATCACCTCCTTAAAATGGGGAGAATATAATAACTGTGTGTTCAAAGTACATCACCTCATTCATATTCCTTGTAGAGCTTACATCATATAAGTTACCAGAATCCTGAACAGCTTTCGATGTAGTAGCTAACAAGAACAACCAACATGAAAAAAGTCAGGTAAAACAAGCGACAGTACTGTTTAAGCAATATATAGTGCTTCAACTGCATAGTAGATTCATCGGGTTTCCTACCAGAAACCATGTCATCAGTTACAATGGAAGAATTAGAAGTTAACAGTTGTGGAAAAGCTGGTTCTGCATCCGATATGGTTTTGCTAGGCTGAGGAAGAAGAATTCAAACATTAGTGGGAAATGACTTGTGCTGATGTGGAATAATGCTTTAATATAATAAAAGCTTCCAAATAAGTTACCCTTGGCCTTTGCTCACAAGGTGTAATCGATTGATATTCAGGTCCCGGACACTTATGATCTGTGAATAGAGTTTCGATCTCTGGTTCAAGCTGAGGATTTGCACAATGCATATGCTGCCAGTTCAAGCTGTATATAATGAGATGATATAAGCTCTTTGCTAACATCCATAAAGGTATAAGTAGGAAATTAAGATATTACCGGATGCATCAGACGAATGAAAGCAAAAGCATAAAATACGCAAGTTAATTGGATTATATGCACATGGTGGAGTTTCAAATAGTAACCGCTCAGCTGAACAAGAATAAGCAGAATAACAGAAAAGAGAGAGAAGACAGAAAACAGTAAGACATTATTACCTTTGATTAATTAGACGGCGCAATCTTGACTTGCTTAATTCTGGAAAACGGAGTCTTCCCTGAAACTGGGGGTTTGATTCAATAATAAGCTTAAGTTCCTTCATCATGAGTTTCCTAGCAGATATTATGTCTCCATACTGAGCAAGCGGAGCATATTCTCTGCTCACAGAATTAATAATAATCAAGAGTTCTTGTTAGGCATCTTAATTCTACAATTCTACAGGTAATCACAAATCACAATCAGTTAATCCAACCTGAAGTCATCTAAAGTCAGAAGCTGAGCCATCTCTTTATAAAGCTCTTCATTTGACGGGGCAAACACTTTAAGATCTTTCAGAAGGATCTCTAGAGCAGTTTTACGATCTTGCCTATCACCGGAATCAATCATATACAAGATCTTTATTCTCGCAAAAATGAAAATTACATTTGATTTCTGATAATCACAAGATTACCTGTCCAGTGCCTCAAGGAACTTTTGTTTTCTAATCTCGAAATACATTTTTATAGAAAATTTGTTGTCACTGACACCAGTGAAACTTGAAAGATAATTCTCAGTCTCATCCCAATTGCCACTGAGCACGAGATCTTCAAAATGTTCCATGTCAAAGAAAAACCCTGTCTCCTGCTCTAACCTATTTCCACAATTTTACAATTCCAATAAAGAAAAAAAAACAATAAATAACTCTTATCCTGCTGCTGAATCCATTAAAAAGGCTGAAAAATAGAACTCACATGTGAGCAGTTTTCGTGAGGTTCTCCTCGTTGCAGAACTGTAATATCAAGAATATAAGGTCTTTACTGAGAGACATGGTCAACTGAGTTCTTTCTTCCCTTCAAAACCTTTCAAATATTCAGAGAGAGATCAGTAAGAAGCTCATAAATTGACATGAGTTCGTACTAGCACACTGATGAATTTTGAGTGATCAAATGACAGTTAAACTAACAACAACAAACCCATTATAGTACCACATCTGGGGTCTAGGTAGGGTAGTGTGTACGCAGACTCAAGGTAGAGAGGCGGTTTTCAATAGACGCTCGGTTCAAGACAAATGACAGTTAAACTAGATAGGTCAAAATCAAATGACCAAAAATGATACTGGATAATAAGCTGTTACTTGTTATACAAAATCAACAAGGACAACATCAACATCATGAATCAATTAATCGGTCTTTTCGCTCTTCACTCTATACTTCTGAAGTGAGTTTGGAATGTCAAGGAAAAATAAATACAAACAAAATTGGCAACTTTCCTTCTACATGAAAATTAGCACAAACAATTGGTATTCAAATTGTTTGTGGGAATATGCATGTATCTATATAGCCAGAAATATCAACTTAGAATTTAACCAAAACAAAAGATGTACTGAGAAAACAAGAGAAAAACATAGAAACGATAATTACAATAATCAAGCACTAAAAAATCGTTTATCCAATAATCCTCCCCTCTAATTCAACTCAATTCACCTCAAATCATCTCAATTGCACAAAATTCTGAAGAAAATTCAAGAAATCCGATTACTAAAATAGCAAAAGATGAAGATTGGATCAAATACAATTCAGAGTCACCTTTCACTTCTTTTCTCGATCAAATCAAATTGGAAAAATAAACACGAAACCAAACGAATTAAAAGACTCAGAAAATTTTTGGAATTGAAAAAGACTGAAGAGTGGACCACAAAGCTATTCTAGAATTGTGAAAAATATCAAAAAACTGCGCCTACCAACCTGCCTATCTATGAACCTATGCAAAAAGCCCAGCAGCACTGTGTAAAGAATGAGGAAAGTTGGCGATACGTTTTAGTTTTTTATAGTCAGAAAATGACTTGAGGTGAATAAATCACTTGACTTATTGATAAGTTGTTGCAATGAAACTTATAAGCAGAACTGCTTATCATAAGGGCAATATAACGACAAAATTTGTAGATTTTGTTTTTGTAAAGGCGTCTTTTGTTTGGGTTTGAAATAGAATTGTTTATGTTATATTGAATTATTTAAAAAGAATTGAAACTAATGTAGAAAAAGATCGAAAAATTCATGCCCCGTTTATTTAGACCAAATATGGCACGTAAATTAGGGCTTAAAATTTTGTTCATTGTTAGTGGTCTAAAAGATTAGAAGCATCGAATGTTTAGTTAAGGAAGAATTATTTTCTCTGTATTTAAAGACTTGATTCGTTGTTATTACAATCAGTATTAGAATTAGCATGGTGTATTGAAGGAAAAAAATCGGAGCAAATTGTTGATTTTAATTGTTTGAGCAGATATTAGATCTAATAATATTTGTGTCACAAAATCTCAACTGTCATTTTACTTCTCTCATCCAGGGGTGTACATGGATCAAATTGGTTCCGTTTTTATCAAAACAAAATCAAACCAACTATATCGGTTTGGATTGGTTCAGTTTTATCGTATTTTTCGGGTTCTTTTGTTTCATTAATATTGTTTCAGTCTTACTTTGTTAAAGTTATAGATAAAATTTTGATAAATGAATATAGATTTAGTAAAAATTAAAAAAACTAACAAATATTTGATCTATTAAAATATTCATTTGGGAAAATTTTCTTTGTAATACATGATAGTTTTCTTAGTCGTGATATACACTTTCAAAGTTAACTGAATTTAATAATTAAACATAAAAATCAATACGATTCCTAAATAATAATATGTTCTATTTACTTTTAAATTATCGAAATATCATTCCACATTCAAAAAAGATATAAGAATTTAATTGATCTTGACATATGAATATGGAAGAACAAAGAGATTTATGTAATTCCATAACACTTGATAAGAAATAATTCAGTAACACTTGATAAGAAAGTGATGATATAACCCATTAATTAAAGTAAATGAAAATGGATGAGCTTCATAGTTATATTAAATCCCAAATATTTCTAGACATTTTCTTAAAAATTTCTATATAAAGTCTTATATATATATGTCGGTTTGGTTTGGATTTTTTACCCAACACCAAACCAAATCAAACCAATCTTAATCGGGCTTTTAAATTAGTTTGATTTAACTTTTTGATTTGTTGCGGTTTTCCGATTCATACTATTTCAAATTAAGGAAGAATGTGTTAGTAGTTTTAGAATGCCGAATCTCATCTAAGTCATCGTCTATCATTGATTTTATACATTCTGGGATCTATACATAAGTGTAACAAAAAGAAATTGAAACTGAAATATATATTATCTATTATATCGGCCTTTTGTCTTCAGAAATCCTAATAGTTTAATTTCCTCGAAGAAAAATATAATATAAAAATACAGTTCTTACTAACCGTGTTGATTTCATATCACGCTGAGGTGAGTCCAATATATAGAATTAAATCTTAAAAAATTGTCCTTTTTATATATTCGAGCAGAAAGCACAAATCCAATTGAACTTATAAAACTCGTCCTAAATTTGCCTCTATGAGCCATACAACGATTATCAATTGAAGCATAAAAAAGAAATACTAAAGCGCCAAACGATTGAGAAGAACTAAAGAACCAAACCAAATCTTGAATTCAATTTCAATCGTTTTAATTCTACATTCAGCAAAAAGTTACAACAGAAGTTGGCCTTAGAAAAAATGGAGGATCCCAAGCATAAGAAAACTTGACAGTATCCTTTGGTTGTATAGAACTGCCATTGTTGACAATACATGTGTTGTCTCCTGTAGGCTTAAAAACAGATGGATCCACAGGTTCTGTTGTCTGAAAATCATTGCAAGACAAGAACAAGTTTTGCATAGGACAATCACAATTGTTCACTACAACAACGTTCCATTCTGGCTTTCCTTGTATTTCATTCCCACTCCTTATTGTTCCAATAGTTATATTGTTCAAGTCACAACCATAAACATCTACACAAATCAAAGAAAAAGACAAAAAATTAGATGAAATAAGGAGGAAAGAGTAAATTTTTATTTTTATTTTTGTAAAACGACTTGGATAGGTATAAGATTTTGCAACATATATAAATACTTCGAGCAGTGACAAAAGCAGGATTTTAACTAAGAGAATTTAAAAAATAAAAAAACTAAACACGCGAAGAAGCTAAGGGGATTCAACATCTAATGTATATACATGAAAAAAATTTAACCTTATATACACAACATAATTTTTGGCGAAAGGGGCTCGATTAACCCCTTTCGCATACCTAGCTCCCCCTAACTTAGAGGACAATGAGGAGGTGATCACCGAATTAATTAGCATGGGTACAAGTTTTAATGGGTATAACGTACCAAAAAAAGAAAGAAAGAGAAAGAGTTAAAAAGAAAAAAATATATTAATAATGAGCTCCATCACTTTAAAGAAATATGAATTGTATTTGTAAAGACTCAATAGTCCAATTTGTTTCATAGTACATCTTTACTATGCAGAGAAATAATGGTATTTTTGTTAGTTTTACTCAACTATTCACATTGTTTAATTTAAAACCAATAATATTTTTTTACTTTGACATATAAGACTGCTTTCGATTGAACCCTTATGTGATGCAACTCGAATTCTAGAGTTTAATTTTGACTGCAAGTTCGAACAGAAATTTATAATTCTTTTAAAATAAAATTTGCATATTTAACTACATAAAAAACACTAAGTCCTAATAATTAACAATAACTTATTTAACTCTCGAACTAATTATCACATGAATTGGGAATTTGGGAATAAAGAAGTAGTAAAAAGTAGGTCTAAACAAATTGAATCGTCCATTACAATGTTTGGCCAGTACAGCTAGGAACTAAGGCCTGCTAATACTGTTATTAAATTTATTTAATTTACTTTTCGATGCAAAAAGGGTTCAAGCTAGACCCCAGATTGCCTAAAAGGGGACAGCTGGCAATGGGAACTGAATATAAATATTTAAATGAAAGATTCTTTTTCCATAAAAGCTGATCTCATAAAGTAAAATACTTTGATATCCACTTTAAAAGAATATTCGATCTTGACCAACCCATTAATGACAATGCATAGTATTATACAAAAATATTCAAAGCAAAAGACCCACCTTGGATTATTGTTTGGGTCGATATATTCCATAACGTGAATGAAAAATTCAAGATGAAGCTAAAGAATTTACAAGAATAAAGCAAATTAATAAACCCAAATAACTGCTCACCTAATTTCTTAAACTAAAAATAACCGACATATATATATATATATATTATATGTACTATAATTTATGTACAATTAATTATATATAATTAATGTATACCAACTTAAAAGTAAATATTAAATCTGACCGACTATTTGTGTAACGATCGCCATAACTGCTATCCAATTGACCAAACGTAAGATCCACATATTGACTACTTCTTATTCTTGACAAGAGAGGAAAAAACAATTTTTTCGACCATATGAGTATTTGAATTGTAACAATGTCAATAAAAAATCACTCTCTTTGAATCGATTCCAGAAGTTATTTTAGAATTGAGTCAATCACGTTTATTAGAATTAGACAATAAAGTAGTGGTTCTACCAATCAAAAGTTATATAAAAAGAAAAAAAACTTTATGATTAAATATGCAAAACTAACTTTTAATAATAATAAGATTGAACTAGTTGTTTACATTAAAAAAGCTACAGGTTTTTACCTTTACTGAGAAGTGTAACTAGAAGGAGAGTGATAGAGAGCTTAACAATGGCTGCCATTAGTTAGGGAAAAGATCTCTTAATTTGTTGATGTTGAAACTGCCTGCTGTATTCTCTTCTGTATGCAAAATTGGAAAAGAATGAATTTTGAAAGAATCGTTCAATGTTGGCCATATTTATAATAATATGGTGCCTTTTAATTAATGTTATAATCTTATGTCATGAATAGCATGTGGTACTTGTCATGTGTGTGTACATCCGTCTATAGGTAGATTTTGGAATAATACAAATGGCAAGATTCTTTTTTGTTTTTGTGGTAGTATATAGAAATATAATGAAATTAAAGAGGTAAATATGGCAACATAATAAAGGAAAATGTCTTGTTCTGCTTTTCTAACTGAGGTTTGGACTTGTAACACATTCATGCTTTTATGGTTTCACATATATATTAAACAAATCTAAAGGAAAGTTTGTATAATTCTCCAAAAAAGTTAATATTGACAATTCAGAAAGCATTATATTCAATACGTTAAGTCGTTAACTAGTTATACTTTTATTGATGAGCGATAATTTTGCATCTTGTTTCTCTTTTAAAATTTGAAACCCATTATTTTTGTTTTTACCATTATGTCCCTTAACAAACTCTGTATTAGAGGAGAACATGTTAATATTGTCATGATATTCTCTAATTATAAATGGATCATTATCTTAAGACAAGGTCTCATCATGTATTTAAGTAATGCTTAGATGAAACTTCAGATAACGTCATGTAATTAACTCATGCCATAATTTTGGTTTTTAGCTATATTAAAAAGTTAATAAAAACAAGTTGAGATACTAATATGCTAATTAAATCTAATTAATGTCCTTTTTGCAACCATCAGATTTTGTAATTTGAACATTCGGATGAGATGCAGTTCATATTTTGATTCGGGCCCAATCGATTCCAAGGTAGTGTAATCATTTATGAAATTTCTTCTAAATAACAAATTAACAATCATCAAGCAGAAGAAAAAGGGGTTCTCTTCTTGAAATGTTGGATTTCTTCCTAATTTAATAATAACTAAAGAATTAGTTATTAATCAAAAAGACATGTCTATTATGTAAAGTAGGGGTGTATAAAGAAAATCGATAATCCGAGTTAAATCGGAAAAAAAAAATCCGATTATGGTTTGGTATTGAAAAACAAATCTGACCATAATTGGTTTGGTTTGGTTTAACTAAAAAAGTCAAACCGAAACTAAACCAACCCGATAATATATTTATACAATTTTAAAAAATATTTTATACATATAAATATTTATTGTAATGTAATTTATAAATATGTCTTAAACTTTTTTCACAATTTTATCTTTTAACGTATTATTTCAAGTTTGGACTTAACATTCTTGAGTAGTAAATAAATTTTATAACTCATAAATGTAGTAACTCAAACAAAGTTCAAATCTATCTATCTATATCTATATCTATGTCTATATCTATCTATCTATCTATCTATCTATCTATCTATCTCTCTCTCTCTCNTCGACTTTTATACACTTAAATATTTGTATAATTTAAAGTACACATACCTGTAACGACTCGACTTGTCGATTTGAGTTATTACTCTCCTTTCTACTATTTGAAGTCTTGAATAGCTTCATACGATGCACTACGACTTGTATGTAAAATTTGAGGTCAATCGGACTTTATTTGCTATATTTCGATATTGATTCTTCAAGAATACGTGGTATCACATAAAGCAAATGAGCTTCAAATTCAGTCTTGATTGAAGAATTAGACCCGTATAGAAATTTTGGAGCCATAGCAAAAAGAATCGTCGAATTCGGACATCGTATGAGAGAGAGATGCCCATTTCTGTGTCGGAAAAGATTTTCCGTCGCCGCGAGCGCCCAGGGTAGCGTGGGGTGCTAGCCCTGGCGCTGGGATGTTTAAGGGTACTGAAAATAGCGCCACAAGCAGCGCCCCACGCTACCTGTGACACCCGAAACAGCTGAGACCCTATAAACGGGGATTTTCTACCATTTTTGACAAAAATATAGTTGGGGAGCTCGGTTTGGGTGATTTTCACGGGTAAACATTGGGGTAAGTATTCCTTATCTTGTATTGATTATATTTCATGATTTCATACTCATTTACATCATGAATCCGTGAATTTATGGAAGAAAAATCAGATTTTTTGTAAAATTTTCAAAAAATATAAAATGAAGATTTGAAGGTCAATCCGATATTGGAATTTGATAAAATCGGTATGGGTGGTCTCGTAATTGAATGGGTTATCGGATTTTGTGAGTTTCGTCGGATTCCAAGATGTGGGCCCCACAGACATTTTTGAGTTAAATTTCGAATTTTGCTGGAAAATTAGTATTTTCATATGGAATTAATTCCTACGATTCGTGTTGAGTATATTGAATTGTTTGTGACTAGATTTGAAGCTTTCAGACACGAATTCGCGAGGCAAAGGTTTATTGAAATATTGCAATTGGTTGCGAAACGAGGTAAGTATCTTGCCTAACCTTGAGTGGGGGAATTACCCCTTAGGCATCGAGTCTTATGTGCCATTTGTGAAATGTAAAAAGCCGTGTACGCGAGGTGACGAGTACGTACTCGGGCTTATATGTACAAAATTGATTGGGTTAAAGTCTTAGGCATATTTTGTAGTAAATTAGATAATTGTTGGCATTTATTAAATCATCTATTTGCCATGACTCAATTCGCGTTTGTTGAATTTGTTTTTATATGACAATTTGATGTGGCTATTACTTGTATATTTATGTGAATTTCGTGAGTTGGGTGATTTGATATTTTCTGGAAATAATTATATTATGGATTTTTCATCTGCAAATAATTAATGAAATAAGTTTAAACCAAGGCGTTATATAATTATCAAGAATTTGGATTAATGAAGGCGTTGTCCTATACTGAGTATTTTCCATCTATGTCATTTTTTAGGTTTTATACACATTGTGTGGAGCCTTGGGCTATTTGTTGTGAAATTAATTGATTTTGTTATATCTTTGGAATTGGTTGTGGCCATTGGGCAAATTGTGATATGAATTGATTTTGTTATATTGCCGGGATAATATTCTGTGTAAATTGTTGTGTTATTTGAGTTATTATTTTGAGGATATAAGGGTGGCATTTCACTGTTGATATTATGTGGGTATAAGGGTGGCATTCAATTGTTGTTATGTGTGTTGGGATATTGTCTGCGCTAAGCGATAAGGGTGGCTATAGGAGAGATAAGGGTGGCTATAAGAGCGATAAGGGTGGCTATTGATGTTGTCAGGGCGGAGAGATAAGAGAGACTATTATAGGAGTGATAAGGGTGGTTATAGGAGCGATAAGGGTGACTATTGATATTCTCAGGGCGGAGGGATAAGGGAGGATATTATAGGAGTGATAAGGGTGGCTATATGAGCGATAAGGGTGACTATTGATATTGTTAGGGCGGAGGGATAAGATAGGATATTATAGGAGTGATAAGGGTGGCTATAAGAGAGATAAGGGTGGCTATAAGAGAGATAAGGGTGGCTATTGATATTGTCAGGGCAGAGAGATAAATGAGGCTATTATAGGAGTAATAAGGGTGGCTATAGGAGAGATAATGGTGGCTATTGTCAGGGATGCTATGTGATGATGTGGAGTGGTTACATTGGTGATTTTTATGTGATGTTGTGATTTTCCTTGTGTTTATTTTTATGCATTGTGCAATTTGTCTTGTTATTGGTAAATTGATAATAGTCTGATTTATGTTGAAACTGGAAGCGTGTGGCTATTCCCAGGCGGATTATGAAAAGAAATGTGAGCACGAGGTGCCGTGAATAAATCTATACTATATTAAAAGCACGAAGGCCCTTAGTAAAATATCGTTCGCCTTTTTTGCCCTTTGAAACTAGATTTCACATTGGATAAAACTGTAATTTAATTATTTTTCAAATATCTATTTTAAATTAACTAAAGTAAATCTTTCCTTATTAAACTAGGTAATTAGGTGTGATGACCCAAAATGTCATCTTTAAATTTAATAAGTAATTCTGTGTTCTAAGACCTCGAAAACATCATCTATCATTCCTCGACTTGCGTGCGCAGTTTGTACAATTTTTCGGATAGTTTTTATGAGAAAAATGGATTAAAATGTGAAATAGAGCTTTAAAACTCAACCGAGTTGACTTTGTTCATCATTTTGAGTAAACAGACTCGGATCAGTGTTTTGACAATTCCGGTAGGTCCGTATCGTGATTTGGGATTTGGGCGTATGTCCGGAATCTAATTCCGAGATCCCTAGCCCGAGATATGGAATTTTGATGAAACATTAAAAGCTTGAAAGCTTAATGATTTTTAAAAAATTACTGATGTTGGATTTATTGACACCGGGTCCGTATTTTAGTTTCGGAGCTCGGTATAGGTCCACTATAATATTTATGACTTGTCTGCCTAATTTGGTGAGAATCGGAGTTGATTTGACGTGATTCAGACGTCCGGTTGTAAAAATATAAGTTTTAATGTTTTCTTGCAAATTTCTTTTGATTTGATGTCCGATTCGTAGTTCTTGGTGTTATTTTGGCGATTTGATCGTGCGAGCAAGTTCGTATGATATTTTAGGACTTGGGTGCATGTTTGGTTTGGAGTCCCGAGGGCTCGGGTTGGTTTCGGGTGATTAACGAACCATTTTTGGACTTGGGAAAAACTGCAGAAATCTGCTTCTGGTATCCTTCTTTGCGTTCGCGAGAGGGGGCTCGCGTTCGCGAAGAAGAAACTGGAGGCAGGTGAAAATTACTCTTCGCGTTCGCGAAGTGGGGGCTGCGTTCACAAAGGGAAGAGATCAGTGTTCATCGCGAACGCGTGGATGTGTCACGACCCCAAATTTCCTCCATAGGAGATCGTGATGACACCTAGTTTCTAAGACTACGTAAGGCTATCAATGCGGAATAATAATAAATATCTGAAATATATAAACTATAATTCAAATAATTACAACTCCCAAAACCCGGTAGAAATAAGTCACAAGCTTCTAAAAATTTATTCTCAATGTCTCTATATATCAAGGTCTAAAGAAAAATAAGGAAGCAACATAAAAATGATAGAAGGGGACTCCGGAGTCTGCGAA